GACAATTGACAGTATTGACAACTGACCCATTTTGGAACTGTGAAAAAAGTTAATGAAATGGAGAGAGTTGGCAACCTGGATAGGTAAAGGCCTGCACATGCAGTTACAATTTTTCAAAGCAGAATATAATATTGGGTATAAATGGCAAAAATGTTCAGAGGTCAAGGTCATGGAAATTCGATTTTTCTACCTTGAACTTACCATCCAGCACACAAAATATAATCACCCACACGTATTGTTGATATCAGGAAGAGGGCGGAGGTAAAATGCACTACTCATGGAGTGACTGATTTTAAGAAAGACCCGTTGTATGTATTCAAATAATTAATGCCCCGAGGGATATATTCTTAACGCATGCTTTTGAGGGGAGGTAATTCAAAGGAGCCCATTAATCAACGGAAGCAATTATTTTTAAATAAATAAAATGTATACTTCATTTTGTGCGAAATTATATTGTCAAGAAGTGAAACAAAATGTATTATAAGGTTATTGTAAAACAACTGAATTGAAACTTTCGAACACAATTCGAAAAGATTTAAATAATAAATGATGGTATTATTTATTGTATACATCATTATACGTATCATGTATAGTATCTGGTAGGATGTTGTGGCATTTATGTACAGTACTAGTTTTGCGCGCAAAGTACAGTACCGGTAGAGCACACTAGGTATACTCAGGGAGTAGAGATGTTTGTACTTTGTACTGGTTTGCCATTGTATGTTATTCAGTGACCAACGCTCAGCGCCTTTAATCATACAATTTGGAATTGGAGCTAAATAAACTTCAAAGGTAAAATATTTTGGTATTGATTTGCCAATACGTTAAATGCAGAAACTAACCGCAGACTCAAATTTCTATACAGACAAGCTGTGAATGTTAATGTAAAGAAAACCATTTGCTCTTTAATCGTTTTATGCTTAGGCCTATTTGATTATTCTACTCTGGTATTTCCTTGGGGCTAAAAAAACCTTCAAATTTTACAAAACAATACAATTAGGTTTATTTCAGACAAAAGACTTGGTAGGCCTACATCTGACTTCCTCAGATTGTAATAAATTGAACATGCTGAATATAAACAGTTACAGCAAAACAACTAAGACTCTAACACTATTATGATGGGTTCCCTGATTATTTACATCATAAGCTTTCAGCAGTAGTAAGACAAACCTTCAAACACCAAAAGTGTCATGCAAGATCTCCTCTTTATTGGGTACGAAAGACTGTAATAGCTTGCCTGAGCCTATCAAATGCATCTGTAAATGTATTGAAGGATCACCCTCTTTCACAGCTATCACCTGCTGCCGGTTTGCTGACGTTTTCCCCAATTCATTTGTATTTATTTCATATATTTGCTGCATTTTAGCCCTCTTCGAGAATATGTAATAAAATGTTATCTATGTTACCAGTTTTGTCTGAGGAACCCCTCTGAAATTAAAGTCCATTAATTGAGACTTAGAGGGACCCAATATCGCCATTAGTTTTTTGACGTCTTTCATTTTTTTTTTAAATACAAATAAATAAAATCAAATTAAAATCAAGGATTACTCACAAATGTAAACATTACAATAAGTCTCATAACACGCGCAGCTTATGCACACCACCAGTTTGATTATATAATAATAATAATATACAATATATATACTGTCTCTTATACACATCTTGTGAACATAAAAAAAGAATAATTGACGAAAAGGGTTCTCGGTGTACAAAATTTGTTGTGAATTCATCCGTTAATGTAGGCCCACTCAGTGAATATTGTAAGGCCAAGAAATCATCAAATTAGGTCTAGGCCTAGGCCTACTTTTGCATATTGAAAATTTCACAACGGAGCTCAACGCGTTATGTTTTTCGGTCTTTCTACGCTTAGGTAAGGAGAGCAAACGGTGAATTTTAGGCTAAACGATCTATATCTAAAATAACAGATATTACCTTTTCTATCGGTGTAATATTAACATTTGATATCCCCGAGGGAATTATATTTTTTTCGAAGGAAAATATAGTCCTGAGAAAAAAATATAATTCCCTCGGGGATATCAAATGTTAATATTACACCGATAGAAAAGGTAATATCTGTTATTTTAGATATAGATCGTTTAGCCTAAAATTCACCGTTTGCTCTCCTTACCTAAGCGTAGAAAGACCGAAAAACATCTGTCTCTTATACACATCTAGATGTGTATAAGAGACAGGTGTTGCACCGTACACACAATTAATTATAAACAAAGATATTAATGATAAAATTTCTCGAATATGATGTATTGTCATACCAAGCATATCACTTCAAATGAAAGTTCCTTGTATGAAAATAGTGTCTCTGATAGAATTCGAACCTCACCTCTCGATCAAGGCGGTAACAGCAGCAGCAGGGATAGGGATATCAAATAAATTGCATTACAATAAAATTGCATCATGACAAAATATTGTAAGGCAATAATAGGCGCTTTGCTATACTTAGCCGCACCCATTTCGATACTATCTACCATTTCGATACTATCTACCATTACAGTATTTCTCGTTTAAGCTCTACCTAATAATAGGTCTACCGCCTGTATACAAATCAACATATTTTCAATGAATATAAAAACAATTAAGGCCTAAGATAATCAAATGAAGGTGACTTACTGGTATGGAGTTGTAGATAATCTGGATATGACGCGACAGAGAGTAGGCAATATTTTACAATCGTCATAGTCATTTTGAATCGTCATAGGCCTATTTGATATGCAAATGCGTGGAACTGTGTTGACCTCAAAAATCGATTACATGGATATGTTTATGTACTTTGAACTATTGTGTTCAACCACTAAGTTAAATGTAAAATTCCAATGAAACTTAATTTTGCACTCGACGTGTAAAAATTATTACGCAAGGTAAACGAATTGAAAATGTACTGATTTCCACAGGGTTTTGGGTTCCAGCCATGACGTTAGATCCACACCACTCTACCCAAAACCAATGCAGTCCTCTCCTTTAAGTCTCAGTAATGTCGAGTAATTTTTAATATTTTTTTTTCATAATTGTTATATATAAATATATATATATATATACATATAACATGTTGGTGATGATCAAAAGATATCCAATCCACGTATGCTTCAATATATATAAAATAAGTAAGCAGAACAGAAATAATATTCTTCACAAGGGGACTACTTTGAAGCATATATTTTATTTTAAAAAACCAAATTTTCGGGAGCGCCTGCTCCCCTCTTAAGGGTTACAATTGAAATGACTCAAAACAGCACTTAAAGACTAATTAAACAGCATAGGCTTAAATGTATATGGCAAATAACAATCAATATAAACTATTACAGATCAGTGACAAATAGAGAGATAGCAGTGGTGGGAGAATATGGGCCAGAATAAACAGTTTAGAGGTGAAAGGTGAAGTCAGCTAGAAAGTCAAGATCTTTGTTAAGGCCATGAGT